CTGGGGGCTCGCGCGGCGGGGGACCCGGCAGTCCCCGAGCCGCTGCTCCCGCTCCGTGGCCTTGGGGACCCCGAGGCTCCTGCGAGCGTCCGGGCGGCCCGCCAGTGCCTGAGCTGCTTTCATGCGCCCCCGAGCAGCCCCTCCCGCGTGCCCTTGGGGCGCCTGGGAACCCTGTGTGCTGCCCACACTCTCCCAGGCGGTTCCTCCGCCACGCTAGTCTTTGTTGGAGCCCTTGCCTATTTTCCTGTGAAAATGGGTTCCAATTTGGGGCCTAAACAGCTGGATTGTATGGCGTGGCTTTCTTTTTTTATTTTTGGTACCGGGGATTCAACTCACAACCTCACGCTTGACAGGCGGTTTTCTCTGCTTAACCTCTATTTTTTTTTCCTGAATTTCTGCATCTACACTTTCAGTGGAAATAGTATTTGAAATTCATCTTTATAAATCGAATTATTGGATTCAGGTATAATGAAAGTCTGTGGTTTTTTTTTTGTTTTCTTTTTTTTTTTTTTTTTAAGATAGGGTTTCACTATGAAATTCAGGCTAGACTTGAACTCAATTTATAGTCCAGGATGTCTTCAACCACGAAACGATCATCCTGCCTCAGCCTCCCCAAGTGCAGGGATTGCAGGCATGCGCTACCGTACCTGGCTTTTCAAATATGATGGGGAATTATCTCCATCTTGTGCATTTAGGATTAGGATAAGGGTTAGGGAGGATTGCAGGAGAATTACAAATACAGCCCACTCTGAACTCCTTATTCACAGCTAATTCGAGACCTGAGCATGAGGCCCACGAATCCCGCGGGGTCAGGCCGGCCAGCAGGACAGACAGCGTTCCTGGCCCACGCTGCACTCAGGGGTCCTGAGCCTGCCTCGCCTGTGCAGCGATCACAACTTCCCACGCCCAGAGCCGCCTCTCGTGGCTCCCTGGCCCCTGCTCCGTGGGCCACTTTCCTTTCTCACACCGGTCTTGTGGCCGGGGCCACTGTGTTTTTTCTGGACTCTCTGCTCCATGGCTTTAGTGGGGGACACCAGTTTGCGCCTGTTTTTCCCTCGCAGTCCACGATCCTGGCTGGACACTCTGAAAGCAGGAAGGCCCAGCCTTAGGGCACATGACCTGCATTTCCCGTTGCTTCTGCCTCGCTCTCCTTGGCCGTCTGACAGCCAGTTACTTGGGTTATTTGGGGGTGGGGGGGCTGTTTGTTTGCAGGTGGGAAGGTAAATTCGCCTCTCCATTCGGCTCTGGCCAGAAGCCCGTACTATTGTTAATGTCTGTTTTGTTTTGCTTGCGGATCAAGCAAAGTTAAGGCCTGGCGTATCGTGCTTTTGGTTCCTTGAGTCTCAAACCCCTCCCTGCGTGGCTCTGTGTCTTTCGTGACAGCGGCACTTGGGAAGAGTCTAAGGCACTTGTCCCGTGAGCTGTCTGGTTTCCTCCTGAGTCTTGCGGGTCCGGCATCTGGGGGAGGACGTGGCACAGGGGACCCGTCCCTGCTCCCTGGTGACCCCAGCGGCCCGTGACGCGGAGTGCTCACTTGAGGAGGGTGCTGTCACCCGGAGCGGCTCATGCCACCGGGATTCTTCCCTTCATCGTTTGCGACCAGTGACCATCCGACCGAGCTTAGGCACCTGTCCATCCAAGTGCACATCCCACAAGCCTTGTCTGCGGGCGGGAAGATGACGGTTCCCCTCCAGCGTTCCTCTCCGCCTCTTCCTTCGCTGCCATTACTCTGTGAAGGGACAGCCACCCCTTTTCTTTTTCAGGCTCATTATGAATCCCATCCTGACATCAGATCTAGGCTGGCCTATCAAAAATCTGCTTGATCTTACGCCAGAAGATGTGAAGATAGCCTTGCCTGGTGCAGGGCTTGGGCACATGTGTCTTGGTGATTGTCCAGCTGGCTGGCCAGGTCCTAGTCTCCTGCTCAGCAGCAGGCTCTGTCCTCCCCCATGTCCCAACGCCTGCTAGCAGGGCAGCACTGTAGTTGAGAGGCTCTGGAGTGAAAACCCTAACTTGGGGTTTCAGATGTGTGGCCACGGGCATCTGGGCAGGTTGCTTATATTCTTTTTTTTGGTTTTGTTTTGGTACCGGGAATCAAACTCAGGACCTTGCACTTGCCAAGCAAGGCACTGTGCCACTAGCTGTCTCCCTAACCCTGGCTGCTTTTATTCTTTGGGCCCTATTTTCTTCTCTGTGAAATGAGAATAGGAAAACACACCAAAACCCAAACAAAACAGAAACCAAAATGATGTAAGACTAGAATGTGCTTGGCACCAGGGAAGCCAGTTGGAAGTGCAGGTGCTGCTGCTTCCTGTCATTCCTACTATTGAGTGTGAGCTTTAAATCCAGTAAGGACATACTGGCTCGCTTACGTCACCACGCAGAGACACACTGTTTTTAGCCTCTGCTAGGACCTGTGGGAGGAGACTTGCACAGCCATCAGGAGAACTGGGGTCCCTGCCCAACATCAGCTAAAAGACCAGGCAGATGAGCCCTGACGGCTATGCCCACTGCCCAGAACCCTCCCCAGCAGGACCAGGCACTTCCCACCAGGGTCTGGAATGTCTGGGAGGCCTGGAGTCCTGCAGGTGGGGTGGGCAGGGCAGGAAGTGGGCGGGACTGCAGGAGCAGCACACGGGTGGCCCTCAGTGTCAGGAGGCTGGGTGATCCCTGGCAATGGCGCACTGGGCCAATACCTGTGTTGGAACCGATGCTGTGAGGGCCTTCTCAGGAATGGCCTCTGTCTCATGCACTTCCTACTCTGTCCCTCTTTGCCAAGGGCGGGGATTTCAGGAAGAAAAATAAATACTGTGAATTTTTTTTTGTCTTTTTGAGACAGGGTCTCGCTATGCAGTTCAGGCTGAACTTGAGCTCACTTTGTAGCCCAGGCTGGCCTCAAACTCACAACGATCCTCCTGCCTCAGCCTCCCTAGTGCTGGGGTTACTAGGCGTGTGCCGCCACGCCTGGCTATATAATACTGTGAATTTTCCACCAGTGAGTATGGGTGGAGATCCCCTACCAGGACAGCACACTTGTTCATGCCTGCATATTAGGCCTGGGAAGAAACACAGGCCTTGACCCCACAGGGCAGCAGGCACCGTGACCTGTATTCTGGTGACTCCTACCCCTGGGAGAGGGGCCGGAAGGTAGGGGATCCCAAGTGCAGCAGGTCAGTGTGTGTGGAATGACTGGGTCAGCCATCCCGCTTCCCTCCCTCCTTCCTTTTTCCTTTCTTCCCTCTTTGACACACTGGACCCAGAGCCCTCTCGATAAGCTACACCCCCAGCCCTACTTTATTTTTTGGGACAGGGTCTCGTGGAACCTGTCAGTTGCCCAGGCTGGGCTCAAACTTACCAGCCTTCTGGCTCAGCCTCCCAGAGTGCTGGGATTACCTGAGTGGGCCACTCTTCCTATCTGTATGTGGTCATTCTTTCTCTTTTCCTTCCTTCCTTCCTTCCTGACGGAGACCACTATGAAGCAGACTTGAGCAGGACTTAAATTAATCAATTGGCTTTTCATGTTCACTTGTGAATCTGCCCAAGGCCTAGGCTCCTAATCTGGAAATGGCAGACTCATAGTAAGTGAACCTCTGTGAGTCACTAATCCCTACCAAAACCTGCGGTGGTGGGTCAAGCCAGAAAATCTCAAAGGATAAGACAAGATCACAGCCAAGGACACTTGGATCCATCTCAACTGGCTGAAGACTGTAGCCACAGGCAGCTCACTCGGGGTGGACAGCCAATACCTTACTTGGAGAAGTCCTTGAGTGATCCTCCCCTTCTTGAGTACTCCCCTGCCTTCTGATAACCAAACACATACGAGACCCCCAGAGAAGGTCTTGGTCTTAGGGCCGAGAGAATCTCGAATTCTGTGAGGGCTTTGATCCTCCTGGAGCCCTGAAATCATTCCATTTGCCTCTTTTTATTTAGCCTTCACCGTATACGCTTTCAGGAGAGGGCAGACTTAATCAGCCTGCAACAACTAAGGGGTATTATTAATCTGATACCTTCCTTCCTTCCTTTCTCCCTCTCTCTCTTTCGCTCCCTTTCTTTCTTGCTTGCTTTCTTTTGAGACAGGGTCTCACTATGTAATTCAGGTTGGCCTTGAACTCACTTTGTGGCCCAGGCTGGCCTCAAGCTCATGGTGATCCTCCTGCCTCAGCCTCCTGGTGCTGGGATGACAGGTGTGCACACCACACCTGGCTCCATAAGTGGTTCTTGATGAAGAAGAACATAGTGCACTGGAATACCACGCAGAGGCCGAGTTTCTGTCTTCGGGGCCCAACTTACTTGGGAGATGACGGCAAGAAGCTCACAGTGCTCCTGGAAGGAGCAGGCAGCCATGGGGCACCGGCGCCATGGCTGCTGCTCTCCCTGCGGCTGGTGCTGTGCACACACAGTTCACATCTGCATTTTCCACTCCACCATGAGGCTACAAGTGGTTATGAGTCATTTATATTTCAGAAAAATCACTTTTATTAGCAATGGAAAAATAAAATTTGCTAGTCACTGGAGTGGGCGGGTCAGTTGATGGGCACCTCCACTAAGCTGTCGCTGTCCTCGTCACTGTCCTGGGCAACCTCCTTGCTCTTGCTGGCCAACTTAGGAGGAGGCGCTTCTTCGCCGAGCTCCCTGGGGGAAGACAACGCCGAGACTGCACCTTCCGTCTCCCCCTCTCCTGGGCATCTCCAGCCCTCCCCAGCCGCGTCCCTGCATGCCGAGTGCCAGCTCGTCCTGGTGCGCGTCCGTGCCTGCCGCCCTCCCACCTGCCCAGCTAAGCACCCTGTGCCGTGAGCAGGCCGCACAGCCATGTGGAGCAGAAGCACTTGCTCCCGCGTGCCTGCCCCCAGTCCCCGAGTGTCCTTCTGAGGTGAGGGAGAAGGTGCTTCTGTTTTCCGGCTGAGTCACCCTGCTGTGAGTCCCAGGAAGCTCGGGGCCAGTGCTATCTAGTGGAGCTGTGCAGCTCAGGGGTTTTCATGCTGAGGGCCGTCACCCAGGGTGAGAGGGGAAATCAGTTTCAAGGACACAGCTAGCATCAAAACACAAGATGTCCTTTGAAAGCCAGGACTGGTGGTGCACACCTATAATCTCAGCACTCTGGGAGGCTGAGGCAGGAGGATCACTAATTCAAGCCCATCCTGGGCAATTTAGCAACTTAGTGAGGCCCTGCCTCAAAACAAGAAAGAAAATATGAAAGAAGAAGAAGAAGAAGTTGGGGATGTAGCTCAGTGTGAAGGCCCTGTGTTCAATCCCATTGCAAAAGAAAAAAAAATCCACAGGAGCCCTTGTGGGACACGAGCAGGCCGGAAACCCCACTGCTGCCCACTGTCACACGCCTCGGGCGGAAGCCGAGCGCAGCGCTGTTGGCAGGGAGGGCCCGGCAGGAACTGAGCTGCTCTTCCCGGCACTCAGGAGCGACGCGGCCTGGGCAGGACGCTTCCTTGCCCCTTCTGCCCGCTTCCTTCCCCAAGTCCTGCCTGGGCCTCTCCTGCTGTGTGCTCGCCTGGCCTCCCCCACCCTGCTCTAGGTTCTGCCTCTGAGGTCCCCAGTGAAGGACCGCCAGGCTCGTTTACCTCAAGGACTCCTGCTCGCTCACCCAGGCTCCTCTGCAGCGGCACCTCTGGGAAGAAAACGCCATTCTGAGTGTCGCCCACCGTGGCCGCCGCCTCCTAACTTGGGCTTGTTGTTCCCGCGCGTGGTATCGCGCTCTCATCTGCCTGTGAGACGCAGCTTTTCTTTGGCAGTTCTCTGCCTCTGCCACAGCCCACGCTAGTAGGGTATTGCATGCAGCTTGCTCTTAATTTTTCTTTTGTAGCACTGGGGAGTGAAGCCAGGGCCTTCACACTGACCTACATCCTCAGCCCACTTTTCGTTTTACTTTGGGACAGGGTCTTGGTAAATTGTTGCGCTGGCTGCACTCAGACTTACAATCCTCCTGCCTCAGCCTCCTAGAGTGCTGGGAGGACAGTGTGTGCCACCACTCTGCCAATTCAGACACGCCTGCAATCCTGGCACCTTGGGAGGCCCAGGCGGGAGGACTGTAAGTTTGAGCCCAGTCTGAACAACTTAGCAACTCAGTGAAATGAAAAAGAAAACTAAAATATAAAGAAGGGATTTGAAGGTAGCTCTGTGCAAAGGCCTTGTGTTCAATACTCAGTACCACAAAACATAAGTGACTAACCAAAAAAATAAAGTTAAATCAAGAAAAAGAGTAGGAAGCCTGTCATTCCTGGTACTATTTATCCTCATCCGCAGGTCCTAATCAAGGCAGAGGAGTAAACGGAACGTTGGAAGTCGGAAAGGAGCAGAGAACGCTCTTGTTTGTGTAGCAGTGAAGGGCCACCTGGAAGCCCGAGAGATGCGAGCCCAGCATCCCGTGAATGATGCGCGTGTTCAGCAAGGCGAGGAGCCCAGCAGGGCGCAAGACGACCACTCACCCACGGCCAGCGCCTCCCTGTATTCCACCTACTAACAGGAAAGTGCGAGAAAGGCCTTGGGCACAGCAGCAGTGAACACGCGGCAGACAGCAGCTTGAAGGAAACAGCAAGGACGCGGAAGGTCGGTGCGGGACGCCGCGGACACTCCCGCCGCCCAGTGACAGGCTCCGGTCTCGAGAGCATTGTAAAGATGACAGCTCACACTCACGTTGTCTGCACATCCAGTGTAGTCCTGGTTACACCCAAGGCGGGTTTTTGTTTTCTTCTTCACAAAAATGACCAGCTGAGGTTTGGCAGAGAAAGTATGTGACAGCAGCTATGCCGAGCAGGAAGAAGAGGCGGACATTCAGCCGGGCTCCGCACCAGGCAGCCACTGGTCCGGCCACGCGTCTGCTCTGCTCAGTACATGTGGAGCGTGGCATCCCTCCTGGGCGCCAACTCTCCCACAAAGCCTACCACAGCTTCTGTTCTCAGTGCTTCACCGTGGCCACGGGCAATGGAGACGAGTGTCGCAGAGGGCCTGGCCCCGGGAGAGCTAAGGACTTCAGGGAAGCTTCATGAAGAGTGTGAGTGGGCTTTGAGAGGTTCTTAGGACTTGTGCAGGCGGGTGGAGTGTGAGGTTTTGAGGGGCAGAGGCACTGACAGAGGCAGCGAGGGGCACGGCGTGCCTGGGTATGGAGGGAATGCGGCGGCTGAGGGAGAGGCCGGTTACTAGGTAAGCTATTCGGTGTTGGACTGGAATGGGCATGGAGACCGTCAGCTTATGAAATCATTCTTGTAATATTCCAGCACCTGCCTGTGGAGAAATGTGCTAAAGCTCTGTGTAGTCAGAGGTGCGCTGAAGCACGGCCCGGGAGCAGGCCACAGTCCACAGGACCGGCCTTAGAGCAGTGCAGGCCAGAGCCAGCAGCCTGGACCTAGGGGCTCGCGCCCCGCACACCCAGGAAGGAGCCGGCCGGGGCCTCCGGCGCCTGTGAGACCGCACTGCCGAGTGCAGGCTGCACGTTCTCTGCGGGGGAAGACGGGTGGACGAGGGTGGGCGCTGTGTGACACTGCGCGCACATCAGGCTGCGGACAGCTTTGGCTTGGAGAAAGCTTGCTACTTTGTCAACTCTGGCCACCACGCTTACCTTCTCGAGACAGGATAGCTGAGAGTTATCTTGGCTTCTGTTCCTTAGAGATCCCAGGGAGTTCATTTAAAATTTCTCTAACACACTTTGCAGTGAAAGAACAGGGCACAGCTCGGTCTTAGTGGCTGAAGAGGCATGCCAGGTAGGAGCGGAAGTGGTGGAAGTTCACTGTGCATTTTGAATCTGTTACCGGGACAGGACGCAGGCAGCCGCGTGAATCAGTGGTCCTTACCTTCGAGACAAAGAGGGCGACGATGACAGCTATCAGTATCACGGACAAGACTGCTAATGCCAGGATGATGTATAAATAGGTGTAAGCGCATTCCGGAAGCTCTTGTCTGAACTAAAACAAAGGAAGAATAACATTGGTTAAGCAGCAGAGAGGGGAAGGATGAGCGCTAACTATTCAATCTGCTCTGCTTCGGGGCAGTGGCTCGCAGGTTCTTCAATCCGCAGCACGGCTGCGGGGCCACGCGTCTCTTCCTGCGCCGCGGACCCTGCGCTCCGGCTGCTGGGCTGGGTCCTTCGCTCTCCCCGGCAGCCACGCAGGCTCAGGGTCTCGGCCAAGGCCAAGCGGCCGGGACACGGGGGCGGCGGGAGGCCCGGTCTCCCTGCTCTCACGCGGACGCTGCGCACAGCCCCCCGTGCGTCCTCACCGTCCACCGCTCCTGCGGCCCCGGCTGCCGGCCCGGGGCCTCCGCGCCCTCGCTGGCGGAGGGGTCCCGGCCCCACAGCTCCAGCTCCCTCTGGGCCTGCGACACCCTGGCTTCCTGCTGCGCACTGAGCAGCGTGAGCAGGCGGCGCGTCCTGGAGACGAGCTGGGCGCAGGCGCGGGGCGCGTGGGGCTGCGCGCAGTCCGTCCTCCAGGTGAGGATGACGTGGGAAACGAGCCCTCGCACGTCGTCGTCGGCGATGATCGGCTGCAGCCGCTGGTTCAGCTGAGTTTCCAGCAGGTCGCCCGCCGGCGGCGGCCGCGGGGAGG